CCCCCCCCCCAGACCCACCAACGTGCTGGTGTAGGTGGGATCGGCGGCGCTGCGCTGCACGGCTCGGGCCAACCCGAAATCCGCCACCTTGCAGACGAGCTGAGCGTCCAGCAGCACATTGCGGGCTGCCAGGTCGCGGTGCACGAAGCCCAGCTCCGCCAGATACCGCATCCCTGCCGCCACCCCGCGCAGCATCGCCACCTGCTGCAGGGTGCTGAGCGCCCCGACGTGGCTCTGTGGGGTTACGGGGCGTTTATGGGGCTGGGGAAGCACTTATGGGGCAGGCAGAGATGCTAGGGGGGCATCGCAGCTGCTGCGGTGTTCGGAGCGCCCCCGTGTGGCCCAAAGTGGAATTGCACCTATAGAACTTTTGTGTTGTACCGAGCGCCACCGTGTGGCTGTTTGGGGAATTACACCTATGGCGTAACCTGCCAATATGGGGTCATTACCCCACTTATGGGTCCATCGCCACCTGCTGCAGGGTGCTGAGCGCCCCGACGTGGCTCTGTGGGGTTACGGGACGTTTATGGGGCTGAAGAACCGCTTATGGGGCAGGCAGAGACGCATCACAGTTGCTGCTGTGTCTTGAGCGCCCCCGTGTGGCCCGAAGTGGAATTGCACCCATAAGGCAGTTATGTTGTATGGGGCGCCCCCGTGTGGCTGTTTGGGAAATTACACCTACGAAGTAATCAGCCAACATGGGGTCCTATGGGGTCATTACCCCACTTACGGGGCCATCGCCACCTCCTGCAGGGTGCTGAGTGCCACGACGTGGCTCTGTGGGGTTTTGGGGCATATGTGGGGCTGGGGAAGCACTTATGGGGCGGACAGAGACGCTATGGGGGCATCACAGCTGCTGCGGTGTTCGGAGCGCCCCCGTGTGGCCCAAAGCGGAATTGCACCCATAAAGCTGTTGTGTTGTACCGAGCGCCCCCGTGTGGCTCAAAGCGGAATTGCACGCATGACCTCCAACAACCCCACGACCCCCAACGACCCCCAACCA